GGAACCCTCCTGCACTGTTGGTGGGAGTGCAAACTGGTCCAACCACTATGGAGAGCTGTGTGGAGATTTCTGGACCTACTAAACATAGAGCTTCCATAGGATCCAGCAATTCCACTCCTAGGGATTTACCCAAAGGACACAGAAACATCAATTCCAAAGAGCACACCCTGCACCCCTATGTTTATAGCAGCACTGTTTACAATAGCTAAGCTTTGGAAACAACCCAATGCCCAAAAATAGATGACTGGATCAAGAAGATGTGGTACATATATACATGGAATATTACTCAGCATTCAAAAAGATAAACACATAAACAGCAACATGGATGGTGCTGCAAGGGATCATGCTCAGCAAAATAAGCCAGAAAGAAAAAGAAAAATACCAGATGGTCTCACTCATAGCAGGGACCTAGACAACTTAAATAAGGGAACAGGAAAATGAATATAAGAAAGTGAAAATCAAAATCAGAAAAAACTATGAACCAGAGACACTTTTAGGGGGTGGGGGCGGGAGGGGAGGGATTTGGGTCAAAATAAGGGGGTTGCAATTGTATGGGGAATATAAAAATATATTATTTAAAAAAAAATACCCAGCAATTTTTGCCCTTTGAATTTTCTGTCTTCTGGAGCCTGTTTTGCTTTTTAATAATATATTGGCCTGATACTTCTGTTCTTAACCAACTCGGGACTTGGGTGCTCACAGTGGCTGCTTGTTAGTTGTGTGGGGCCAGGGACAGTTGCCACCATGAAGTCTGTTGAAAGGAAGGTGTCAAAGTCCTGTCCATAGCTCTCTGGGGCAAGAACAAGTCCTGCTGTGTCTGGGCTGGGAGGGCCCACAGCGTCCCTCCCCTGCACAAAGAAAGACCTGTGCTGTGGAGTCATCAGAGTGAGTCCGCACATAAACAGAGCCGGTGGAGAGCAGATCTCCCTGCTAGTGCTGGTGGGGGGTGCTCTAGCTCCAGCAGGGAAATCTGCTCTCACTGCCTGCCCTCATTTATTTTTAATTTAAATTTTATTTTTATATTCCCCATACAATTGCAACCGCCTTATTTTGAACACAATCCCTCCTTTCCCCGCCCTCCATCCCCACAGAGTGTCTCTGGTTCACAGTCGTTTGTTGATTGATATTTTTTCTTACAGTTATTCTTTTTCCTGGTCCCTTATTTAAGTTTTCTAGATTCCTGCTATGAGTGAGACCATCCGGTATTTTTCTTTTTCTTTTTGGCTTATTTCGCTGAGCATGATCCCTTCCAGAGCCATCCATGTTGCTGCAAATTGCATGTGTTTTATCTTTTTTGAATGCTGAGTAATATTCCATGGTATATATGTACCACATCTTCTTGATCCAGTCATCTATTTTGGGGCATTTGGGTTGTTTCCAAAGCTTAGCTATTGTAAACAGTGCTGTTATATAAACATAGGGGTGCAGGTGCTCTTTGGAATTGATGTTTCTATGTCCTTTGGGTAAATACCTAGGAGTGGAATTGCTGGATCATATGGCAGCTCTTAATACACTTGTCACATGATAGCCTCGGAGAGCCTCAAGAGCTTCATGGAGCAGGGCACTGTCCATATGTCAGGCCTTCTCCTGCAGCTCAGAGTCGACTGGTGTGCAGAGTGCCCCAGATCAGCATCTTTGCCAGGCACCTGAGCCAGTGTCCACACATCACGGCAACTGGATTCTTTGTGACACTCTGGATTCATTCTTGTAACAATACTACACCCCAATCATGTCACTTGAATAGACTATGATTTACTACCAAGCTTTATTTTTTTAAGATTTATTTTATTTATTTATGCATACACTAGGTGGGGGCAGGCCAGACGTTCAGGGAGGACCCCCCAGAGACAGAGTGGGGAGCAGAACAGGCAGGTCCACTGTAACACACTGCTGAGAGGTGCAGTGGGGAGACAGTTTACCCTTAGAATCTGTTATAGGGCAGGGAGAGGGGCAGCCCAAACTCCGCCCCCTTTCCTGGGGACAACCCTGTTACAGGTCAGCTTCCTGGCCAGGGAAAGAACTCAGGCCAAAGTAGCTGCTGGTAGCTTAAGAGCACTGCCACTTGACCCCTGTGCCTTGGAGGAGGTCCAAATTTACCACATTTAAAGTGCACTGGCCTCCATCCCAGCTTGGGGGAGCAGGATGGACACAATTGGTGTAAAGTGTGTATTAACAGAGACATCTCAGAAACAAGTCTGCTCCCCAAGGGTTTTAAGAACTTGCCCTGGATCTGCAAATAGGCCACAGGATGTAGGGCCTACACTGCAGTAAAAGCTGACCTCCTGTCTCCCCACTGCCCCCTTGGCAGTGAAGTTCAGTGGATCACCCTGCTTGCTCCCCACTCTGTCTCTGGTGAATCCTCTCACCATCCAATGCCTACACCACAGCTCTTAGCTCTCATATGCATAAATAATTTTTAATCATTTTACTTATGCATGCAAGTCAGGCTACAGATGTGGGGGGTGACAAGATTCACCAGAGACAGTGGGGAACAGAACCGGCAGAATGACCAAAGGACACTGCTGTGGGTAGCAGCAGGTGAGTCAGGAGAGGTCTGTTGCACCCTGTGGGGTGTTACCTGGCCAGCCAGGGATTGAACTCGTGCTTTAGAGGCTGCGGGTTGCTTCACAGTGAGGTTTTTAACCCCTTGCACCACCAGGGAGGCCCGATAAAATAATATTCTTTTTTAAAAAGATGCAAGTATTTAATGTAAACATCCCTTTAGAAGTCTGCACAACTGCACTTGGCTGAGAGTTTTCAATCCATGATATCTCAGTGAACCAGGCAGCATGGAAGTCTCCAGTGGTTCTCATACGCAGCCCAATTTAAAAGCCCATCTTTTCTAGCCTGACAGTGGTAACAATGCTCCAGAGCATCAGCTCTTCAACTTCTGGGGGCGATTAATTATGGATATTGAAATCATATCCACGGCTATTTTTGACCATAATTCTGTAAGAATAACATCAAGCCCAAAAAGAAACCTGGAAAAGCCTTAAGCATGAGCAGATTAAACAACATGTTTCTCAGTAACCTCTGGTAGACAACAGATTAAAGCAAGCACTTTCAAGTGACCAGAGAGAAATGAAAATGAGGATACAAGTTATCAGAATTCATGGGCGTACTGAGAGGAAATTTAATTGAAATGTATGTCTACATGAAGAAAGAGAAAAACCTCAAATAACCAACTTAACTGAGTCCTAAAGGAACTTGGAAAAGAGGAAGAAAGCCAAAATTTTGCAGGAGAAAGAAATTTAAGACGTTAAAGTGGAAATAAATAAAATAGGCAATAAAAAAGACAATACGAAACAACAGTGAAGCCAAGGGTGGGTCCCCCAGAAAAGACAGCTGACAAAGCTGTAGTCAGCCCCATCAGAACAGCAACCTTGAACGGGTGGACCCAGACAGGAAAGGGGCCTAAGCGCCGCGGACATCATGGCAATGCGGAGGCTCCCAGATGACTGGGGACAGTTACATGGGCACAAATTTAGTAACTGGAAGGAGCGGGTACCTTTTCAGAACAATAATGCCCACCCAGAATGAACTGGGACGAAATAGAAAGCTTCGATAGAGGACAACTACGGAAATGGAACACGTAGTAAAGATCCCCCACCCCAACCGCCAACACAGGCCGGACTAGGTGGGTTTGCGGGCGAATTCCACCGAGCCTGAAGGTGTCCAGTAGTCGTTTTACTCACACTCTCGCCCTAGGTGGGGGAAGCGGGCCGCGTCCTCACGCACTCCAGCAGCCCACACCACGCTCACGCAGATCCAGACAAGGCCACTGCACGGAAAGACAAGGGGCGCCATTATCTCTGCTAAGTGCGGGCGAGAAAACCAGCCAGGGACCAGCAAACCAGTTCCCGCACACAGCGACGGCGTGGCGCCAGCGGGCGGCTCGCCCCGCAGACGCGAGGCTGGGACGCCCGTGGGGGGAACCGACCTAGGGCCTGAGACGGGCGACGCCAGGGCGCGCTGAGCCGCGGAGAAGGCGCGACAAGCTGCGGCCCCCGCGCGGGAAGCTCCCCGCCCTCCCCTCCGGGCGGCGGCCACGGCCCCTGGGGACGCGCAGACAGGTGGAAACAGGCCGGAGCGCGCGACGACGGGCCCGCGGCGGCCACCGGGAGGAGCCCAGGATGCGCGTCCTTGCGCCAGGCCGCGCGGCGGGCAGGGTCGCTGCGCGCAGGGGCGCAGCGGACTGTCGCGTCTCCGGACCCGCAGCCGACGCCAGGCCCGAGGGGACGGCAGCGGGGAGCTCCGGACACCGCAAACGTCCCCATAAAATGGCTGCAAGGGGCGGCCTCGAGGTGGACAGCCCGCGCGCTAAATCCGCTGGGAAACCAAGAGGCGGGAGCGCGGGCTGAGGGGAGAGCCCGCCCCCGGATGGACCCGGCCTACGCCGCCCCTCCCGCCTCCGGATGCGCCCCGCCCCAGGATAGGCGCAGCCCCGCCTGCACCCCTCCCCACCCCGGGCATGGGTCGCACCCACTCCACCTCTCCCCCGGGGACTGGGCCCCGCACCCACCCCAGTGCTGGGCCCCGCCCACTCCACGCCCCGCACCAGCAATGGTCTCGTCCCGACACTGCGCCCGCCCCGCCTGCCCCCATTTTTGGCCCCGCCCTGCCTTCGCCGCGCTGGCTGGGCCCCGCCCCCAGGCCGATCCCCACAGCCCATTGGCGGGCGGCGCTGACGGGCACTTGCAGCGCTGAAGGCCACGTCTGGATAAGACCCTCTGAGGCGCCGGGGCGGTGGCAGCGCCGGGAGGCGGGCGTCGCGGCGAGGGAGCGTCGTGGGCTGCGCCCCTGCCCAGCTGGAGACACCAGCCCCGCCCCAGGGGCGCTGACCCTCAGGGCACGCCCCGCTCGCTAAGCCGCGGGAACCCCGAAGCTCCTCGGTGAGGCCCGCCGCCCCAGGCCCAGACCCCAAGGGCTGTCAGCAGAGAACACCAGCCCCAAGCGCCCAGACGCCAAGCGCCTGGTAAACGCGCCCCCTCAGCCTGAGCATGCCTGGACACCCCACCCAAGGAGGCCCTAGCACATCAGCCCCTGAGGGACCAAGTTCCCTCCTCAGACCCCGAAACTCTCAGCCTCACACTGACCCTTCTCCCGCCCTGCAGGCCTCGAGTCATCCTAAACTCCCGGAGACCCTGAAACCCTTGAACCGAGGGACCCCTTCCCTCAGCCTGAGATCCCGGCACGCCATCTCCCTCCCTCAGCCCGAGGGAATCCCCAACCCTCTCAGCCCGGGACCTGCCGCCCCTCAGCCTGAGATCCCGGCACGCCATTTCTCTCAGCCTGAGAGAACCCTAAACCTTCTCAGCCCTGAAATCCTGGGACACCATTTCTTCAGCCCGAGGGAACCGCAAAACCTCTCAACCTGGGAAACCCGTCCCTCAGCCTGGGGATCTCAGCCTGCTCTGACTCCCAGACTTTCCCGCAGCCCCGAGGGAGCCACGGTCCTGGCGGCGTCCACGCCCCCTTGGCCAGCCGGGCCGCCCAGCTCCCAGGCCTCAGCGCCCCCGTCCGGCGCCGCCGGGGTCTTCCGCGCACAGGCCACACAGCACCTGGGAACACGGGCTGGTGGTGTGGGCGCCGCAGGCCTCCGCCCCCGCGCACTGGTTCCTCGGGCCCCGTGTCCCAGCATTTCTGCCCGCGCGCCCGCCCAAAAGGTCGACTGACCTGGCTTCGCCTTTCTGGGCCCCTCCTGCAGGTTTTGTGACGCGGGCTTGGGGTGCCCGGGGCCCAAGCCATGAACCCCGCCGGGTCCGGGGAGGAGAGCCCGAGGGAGACGGAGGTGGACGCCGGGGGGCGCTGGTGAGCCGGGGGGGCCGCTGCGGGCAGCGCCAGCCTGGAGGGGTTTTGGGGGCTGTGACAGTGTGCCTGGCTGGCAGGGGTCCCCCGCGCACCGCAGACTCGGGGCGGGCGGGCCTGATACCTCAGCGCCACGTCCTGTGCCAGGGACAGAAATGGCCAGTGCTGCCTCAGCTCCTTAGGGCCCGGGGAGGAAGATCTTTCCAGAGCACAGAGCACGCCCAGCACAGGGTAGCTGGGACACCCTGACTCGCACTGCGCGCTGAGATGTGCTCCCCGCAGGCCAAGGACGCGTTCAGAGACATCGTCATGTACTTCTCCAAGGAGGAGTGGACTGCCATGGGTGACTGGGAGAAAAGGCGCTATCGCAACGTGAAGAGGAACTACCAGGCGCTGATCAGTATAGGTAATGGGAAGTGCAGCGCTTAGAGAAGCTGGGCCTGAGGCGGTGGATTCGCTGGTGGCATATTACTTGGCACCCTCCCAAGGGGCTCCACCTATCCATGCATGGCCACACATCTGCAGGCAAGCATGGTGCATGGTCTCGGAGCCCGCTGGCTGACAGAGCAGCCCTCACACCTGGCTTGCTCTGTTCTCCCTGCCTACCTGCCTCTGTCCTTCAATCCAGCTCTTCCCTTTTCCAGCCAAGATTTGCTTCTTCGCAGGTCTCAGAACCCCTCGGCCAGCTTTCATGTGCCACCAAAGGCTGGCCATCAAACCCAAGGGAGAGGGCAGTGAGGATTCTGACGAAGAGTGGACACCCCGGCAGCAAGGTGAGGAGGCATCTGGAGGATGTAGCGCATCCCCCTGAACCCAGCCTACGTCCATGCTGAGCTGCATCTCAGCAGGTAACCAAGGAAACTGATTCCTCAAGAACACAAATGCTCAGGAAATGAGATAGCAAACACAGCAAGAGGCTATTCACATAAAGGATTAAAGGGCTTAAATTTCTCTTTAGATACATTGTTAAGCAGTAAACCCTGAACCTAAAAAGTATAAAACCCTGAGCTAGTAAATACCAATTAATAATAGTCATCAGTAAGAGAAAGAGAGAGGGCTGGCAGGTGGCTTTGCTGTCTCTTGGTTTGTGTTTTTCTTTGTCTTGTTTTGTAATTGGAAATAAAATTTAAAATATCTGAAGCCATTGTGGCAGAATGTTGAGATCAGCTTAAATGGTACTGAATGTACAGGTTTCCCAGGATAATTTTCCTATTAGGTTAAAATGTAAAAGATTATTTTTGCTAAATGTTGTTAATTAACAAAAGGATAATTAAAGAAACCCTAAACTTAAATCACCAAATAGCTTTCTGACACTAATCAAATCATATTTTTAATTTAAGATTTATTTATTTATGCATACAAGAGCTGGGATACAGGCCAGAGATGCAGGGGAAGGGGGGACTGGGCAGGGGACAGGATTCACAGAGACAGAATGGTGAACAGAACAGTCAGCTTGACTGAAATACACTGCTGAGGGGAGCAGCAGGCGAGAAAGGAGAGGTTTGCTCATGCCATGTGGGTTGCTCCCTGGCAGGCCGGGGATCAAACTCCTGCTGCAGAGGCCGAGAATTGCTTCATAGTATGGTGCTTAACCCCGTGTGGCACCAGGGAGGCCCCTAATCTTATCATATGTTTACTACTGAATTCAATGTCTTAGAAGAGGAAATGATTAACACAGTCTGTAAAGATACATAATTAATGTGTGCATATTTAAATCACAACACATGATCTTCATACCCCAAAATGAACCTGATCTTTTATTTGATTTTGGAAACATATTTGAGGAAGCTACTAAGTCTCTCTGATCTCTCCTACATCCGTGGCCAGAAACACCCTTGGATAAATGAAATGCAATCATTTTAAAATAATTTAATTAGCAGCTAACTTCCTCTTGTGCTGTTTAGACAGGAAACTTTAAAAGAATCAACCTGTATAAATTGGAGAAAGCAACTTAGATTAGGATTTCCCCATCTGTAGATTTTTGCTACCTTAGGCTCTTTAAAGTAGTGTAAGATCTGAAAACTCAACATGTGACTGTCCCCAAAGGTTCTGATATGAAAAGGGTCCATAGGGAATATATACCCCATGGCTTACCAGATACCTACACATCTTCACCTGGGCTCATTTAAAAACCTCCACCCATGCGGCCTGAGTTCAATCCCCAGCCAGGGAGCTGACCAACAGGGTACAGCATACCTCTCCTGCCTCCCGCTGTTCCCCTCAGCATTGTGTTTCAGTAGATTTGTCTGTTCTGCTACCCACTCTGTCTCTGGTGAGTCCTCTAACCCTCCCGCCCTGCACCTCAGGCCTAGACCACAGTTCTTCTATGCATAAATAAATAAATATGAAAGAAATAACTCCAACCCAGTAATTTTTTTGTGTAAAGAAGAAAAAGCACCTAGCAAATGTATCCTTTTAACAATTTTATAAGTGCAGAATACATATTTTATCTATATGCTCATTATTGCCCAATGGCTCTCTAGAACATATTTTTATCTTGCATGCCCAAAACTCTATGTCATTGAACAAGAGCTCCAGTTCCTCCTCCCCCTTTACCTGGCGATTATCATGCTATTGACTGTTTCCATGAACTTGATTAATTAGGTAGCTCCTATGAATGCAATCAAGCAGCATTCGTCTTATGTGAATGCTTGTCACAATGTCATATCAACAAGATTCATTGATGTTGTAGCATATGACAGGATTTTCTTCTTTTGTAAGACTGAATAATATTTCATTTTATGTATAGACCACATTTTCATTCTGTGGCCATCCATCAATAGACATTTAGGTTGTTTCCATGCCTGGGTATTGTGAATAATGCAGCAATGACCATAGGTTTACAAATATTTACTCAAACTGCTATTTCAATAGTTCTGGACAATTTTTTGAGGAAACTCCTACTGTGTCCACAGTTGCTGTCCCATATTACACTTCCATCCATAGAGTGTAGGATTCCAACTTCTCTACATCCGTATTTGTCACTCTCTGGTTCAGATTTGTGTGTCCCTAATGAGAATCTCCAGAGTTTGGAAACATGTACCAACCAAAACACTGATTTCTCATCACCTTCTAGTCAAACATCCGTGGGTGGCCTTCAGAGCAAAACAGAGTAAACACCAGAAGGTGAGTATTTCCCAAATCCTGTTGACAAGTCTTCCTCATGGATCTGAACACAGGTAAGTGCATGAGAATGCACAGAGAACCATAAGAAGTGTGCTCCCCCTTGCCTGACACAAGAAACAATATCATCATTCAGCAGCAAACCTGGTTCATTTTCATGATGTTTCAGCCCTTATTTTAGGCATTTTACATGAATAACCTCATTTAACTTGTCTACAATCCTACATGGTACATCCCATGACTGTCATCATTTGTAGATGAGGAAACTGAAGCACAGAATTGACTGTGTCTGAGATCATAGTATCACTGGTTGTGTCATCTAATCCAAAGTTCTTTCACTAGACTACGTACAAGTTCATTACAGTTTATAAAGTTTACACTGTAATATCCATCCACAAAAACAGCATTTATCTGACTGATTATTTCAACTTCAGTTCTGTTTTTCCTTTTAATTTTTTTAAATATAGTGCTTTTTTCTTGCATCATTGTTGTATTTTGGATAGTATCTCCCCTCAGGTATGGTCACCCTATTTCTCCCACCACCAAAGGACCCAAAGTTCATCACCATATACTCCTCTGCTCTTCCTCTCCCCTCACCCCATATTCATCCCTCCTCATCTCCTCCCCCACCTCCCTCTCCTCCTGAATGATTCACATCTATGGTCAACTTTTAAGGGCTCTCTTCACCTGACCATTTGTCAGCCTCAGATATTTTCTGCTGTGCTAAAACAAAAACTCCCTGTGGCTGATGAGAGCTGATTACTATATGGGCAACCTGTATAGTGGACAAGTGAAGGAGATTGCATACCCACCCTCTGAGCATCTCACTCTTTCCGAGAAAGCAGGTCCCAGCCCTGAAAAGCTGCAGAGTTGGTGTTGAGAACATCACGTGAGAAAACAACTTAAGGACTTTGTAGAGATTACACACTATACAATAGGAACTTTCCACGGAAATGATTTAAACTCTGTGTTTCTGTCATAGACAGTAAGAGCTGCTTTCTCAGAGCTCTAATCAGGACAGTCCACGTTGTTCAGAGTCCTTTGTTAACCTTCCTTCTGCCTGGGCAAGCTCTTAGAAAGCCGGGTCCATACATGATTCTTCTCAGAAGTCCCAGGCCCAGCTGAGGGCAACCAGGGGAACCCCACATTTCCTGCATGAGTAACTCCACACTCACAAGTCCAGCTAGACGTAAGGGGGTCAAAGAATGATGAAGATAGTATCTTAAAGGCAGGTATCAAACACAGGTGGTTCTAGGGGGTGGTCTGATAGAAGAACTGTAATCTCACAGTCATGCCCTGTTGATGGCTCACAAAACACTTTGGGGAACACCGTTAGATTTCATGTCACTCCGATATTAATAATTATCCCATATGCCAGTTTGCGGATCAGGAAACTAAAGAGAACTAAACAGCAGCATAGCTTCACTCAAACAGGACTGACAGGAACCAGCTCCTCTAAACATGAATATTCTTCCCCAGATGTGGCAACTTACAGCTTTAACATCATGTTCTTTATTGCCTGAGTACATTTCCTGCCAATCATTTCTTTGTACTCTTCCTAAGAGTACTGTCTTCATTTTCCAGATGTCTGTTCCCTTTTATCTACACTTTCTCTTTCATTAAGTACCCACTAGGTTTATAGACAACAACCCTTTTTTTCACTATAAGCATTTTTTTAAAAAACATAACCTGCCTAAACTGGAGAAAGCAACTTAGATTAGGATTTTCCCCATCTATGGATTTT